AGTCGACTATTTCCAAATGCCAGAATTTTTACTTTTAAATATTATTGACACCGCCTCACTAGACTAGTTCCTGGTACTGGTAGGATTGGTGGTTTCCAAATCACATCATATTTAAAACGAGCAAACCGTATTGTGGTATTTATGTACGCAGTTAACCAAACGAAACTTAGGTTTGGGTTATGTTAAATTACACAGTTATGTGTTCGATTATTAAATAAACCATAAAGTATCATAAACTAAGTTTCTATGTGTTTCTAAGTGTATAGTGTGTATTGCATGTATGTATGTATAAGTTTAATTTTGTTTGTATAAATTATAAATTACATTCGTTTTTCGTGCCGAAAGTAATGAACAGTTTTCGTAATATGGTTAATACCAAAATAATTCATAGTGACTTAAAAATTACTTCATCAATATGCATAACTAGATTTTTTTCCCTTGATTCTAAAAACGTCAAAAAGTATAATGACATCGAAAAAACTTCATCAAACTGTTAACTTTAACAAACTTGGGATTATAATTAATTGACAATTTAAGTTTTTATGTATTTAAAATACTTGAGATAGTAATATTATGTGATTTTTTCCAACAATGTGTCCTTAACACTATGGCAATATATTTGATTTTTTAATAGCTTCTATATTAATTACATTTTAAACATGTCTTAAAATTTGTAAAACTTATCAAGGTAATAAAATAATAGACATTTCAATTTGATCGGTGAATGTTTTATGTAATTACTTTCGTGTATAAAACTAATGAGTTGATGTTTTAATCTACAAAAATGAATCAAAAATAAATAAATAAATGGAAAACTTTTTCTATGGATAAAAATTCTTAAAACCTGATATTTATAATAATGAATACATATTTAAAACGTAATGCTGTAATTCATTATATACACTTCATTACATCGAATCACTCGTGTACCAAAATAAAAACGAATTTACCTTATTTATATTAGTTTTCTTGATTTTCTAGAAGATATTTTCCTGAATTTTTTTAATTTCAATTTCATTTGTACTGCGTACGAGAGTTATTAAATAAATTACTTTTGCACGTACTTCCATTTATGTCTATATAATCTTTTTGATCATGATTCAACAAGACTTTTTTATTAACGGGTTTCATTTTTTTTTTCCGGCCGCCAAAACATTGTCGTTGTAATTTTCATATATTCAAACAAAGCCAAACAGGCCACCGACGCAGATGTACAATTTATGTGGACACACAGTTCAATTGAATAGGTTACACGTCTATTTTAACTGGAATGCAATCGGGTCATTAGAGTAATGAAATTTAATAAAATAAAATGATTGACGTATTTTATTGACGAGTATTTCATTAAAACGTTTAAACGCGAATGTTATTATTCATCAAATCAAATTTTTAAGTGTTTTATTTCATGACATTCATAAACAATATGATTTGTGATTTTACACGTTTTATAAACACAATAATTGCTTAATACAATATAACATTAATGACACTAATTTGGAACCTCCATCATCAATATTATTTAATCAATATCTGTCTTTACTTAAGCTAAACGCAAAAGCATTCCGAATGAATGTCAAATGACCATTTCGTCACCATCGTTATAAGAATTTAACGAATTATATATTTACCGTCTATATAATATTAGCATCGCGACTTGAGACGTTTAGCGTTAAGAATTATTTGTTCTTATTGCCTTAACTCATTATCTCATAAGTATATTATTTAAACTTAATTCTGTTTCATACACAAAAATAAAATGATTCTTTTTTTTTCTCCCATAAGATTGAGGGATCGGTAAGATGAAATAAGATAATACATTTTTAACAGATACTACTGTATATATTGCATCGTTATACGATTAACCATCAATTGAGGCGTTGACATGGAAAAGGTATTAAGTCGAAAAAAATCAATTTTTCGTTTTTTCGTTGAAAACGGATTAAATACATATGTCAATGGCGTGGTAAAAGAACTAAATCAAATTTCTTTATATATATTAGGAATTACGTTGAATACAAGATGACGCTAGTCGTGAGTCATTGTGCTTTGGCTTGGAAACGGTATTAAACCATCTCAATATTGTTTTTTTTTTTTTTTGATACGAACATTGTTATCAACTATCGTTTAATATGATTTATCACAATTCAATTAGAAATTAAAATAGAAAAGAAGGTTCAAAAAATACTAAAAACAGTTTTTTTCCTTTTCCTATAAGATTTGGTTTTTATGGCTTAGTACCTTTTCCATGCCAACGCCTCAATTAACATCATTTTAATAATTTTTTTGAAAATCATCATTAGTTTTGGTTAATTGTGAATACAAAATTGTATGTACATAGTTCTAAACATTTTTATTTTACATGTGAAAATCATGCATACTCATTTGAATAACATTTTTAAAAGCAATATATATATATATATATTTATTAATTTTTGCGTACACGCTAATTACCTGCCTGTTTATTCCTTCAATCGATGGATATCTTGCAGAATATTTACATAAACAAATTCGACATTTTTGCTTATTAACATACCCTGGGAGGTGGAAGTAAGCCCCATCACTGAAGATTATCCTGCTAATGAAGTCTGCGTGTGGTTGGCTCAAAATCCATTGTGCAAATAATTATCTTGCCATGATCTGTTGGCTTCAATTCCTGTGTCAATTGGATCTTAAACGGATGCAGATGAAGCTCGTTTTTCAAAATTCGATAAACAGAACTTCGTGACATATCCAGTTGCTATGAATGACGGCGAACAGACTTATGCGGACTCACTTTAACACTGTCTTGCACTAGCAAAGTTTGCTAGAGATCGAATGTTCCTCTGATGGGTGGCTTTCTATCCGCAATTGAGCCAGTTTCCTCGAATTTATCTATAAATAAATGAATTTATATATAAAAATTTTATATTTTGGACATTTTTGTTTTACATTTTATTTTTACACAAATATACCGGACTCTCATTATATATATTGAAAATAAAATAAATTTAATTTAATTGAGTTCAATTAATTTTCACAGAATACTTATATCACTGTTTTCTATACTTGGTATAGTTTTCAACTGAACTATATAACACTGAACTCTTCGTGTTTTTTTTTACTTTTTTCGAAAATGTTGACAAAATAAATTTAGTTTAACAAAAAGCCGTGAAAATTGAAGTTCCTCATAGAAATCACTAAGTAAGTAATAGTAATAAAAAGTTTTACAATCGTTTGAATATTAAATTTTAACAAAACAATAAAATCATGAAAAATCCATTACATTTTTTTAATTTGAAATTCATAAAACTTTCATTTTTTTTTTTACATAAATCTTGTAAATTATATACAAGATTATTCATAAGATTTTCTTGGTACTCAATATAGGAAATGTTGCTGGAAAGTCGCAAAAATGTTTTACAAACATTACAGAATGAAATTTTCAGAAAATCAGATATTTCCAAGAATTGACATTACATAATAATAGTTATTTAATCAAAAACATTTCAGAATCGAAATATTTTTATGAAATTTTTGCTGTTTATTTGAAATTTGAAATTTTCTCAAATTTTAGATGTTTTTTTTTATTTTATTTTTTTAAAATTTAGAACATTAAACGTTTAATGTAGCTTATTGAAAAATATGGTTTTCTACTATATTAACCATCATAAGAAATGTGAGCTCATAAACCTCTTTTACTCAAAGTTATTTTATCGAAAGCAACGGTACGTTCGTTTCAAGCTTAAAGAACGAAAACCCCAATATTCTTCACCCATCCCTGTATCTCACCTTACCGTGAAATCTCATCTTACCAAGGAATTTCGCCTTCTATTTCTTTGATGTTGTATAAATATCCTTTGGTATAGTTTAAGTGGTTACTGTCAACGATTGCCTGTAACAATTACCAAACTACGTTTTCCAGTAACCACTACTAACCATTATGATACTACATACATACACAAAAGCATTTTATAATAAGCTAAATTTAAATATCATATCATACATTCCTCCTTTGAAAAATGTCAACTAAACTATTATATTAATAATTTTATTTTCATCCAGTTTTCTTTTTACTATATGTAAAATCCAAGTACCATAAACGAAAAAATATAAACAGCAATTTATTAAAAATATTATTATGTTATACAAAGTACAAAATAAAATAATATTTCAAAGATAAAATGGCAGTCACTTTCGATGTCCGTCTCAATGAGTAAGCCATTTAACCAATTAATTTGGATTATTATTTTGAATTTTATACTTGTGAAAAATCTTTCTATTTAGAAAACTGTAATGATTGAATTCTACGGTTGAAAAATTTGCATTATGGCGAAAGTTTAAAAAACAGAATTAACGACTTTAGCAATTAACTTGCAGTGTGCTAGTTAATTTAACTTTATAAATGGATTACATTACATCTTCTTATGAAAAATAAAGTAAAATACAAATATTATGATTTTAGAATTTAATCTAAACTTTAACAGTAAAAAAACAAAATCTGATTGAAACAACTTGGTTCTAGAGAACCATGTGAAATTCCGGATATAAGTAGAAAGTTATTTATACTGTTTCTTATACGTATATTATATGATATATAATATATAATATTATTATTTATCCAAGTACGCGTAGAACACTGTTAAAAAGGAAGTATATATGTTTTGATTTTTTTTGTCATTACTCATTATTATGTAACCAGACATACGTAAGAAATATATGTGCAACATTAATATATTTTATTATTTATTTATACAAAAAAATTATATAATTAATAAATAATTTTTAGTCCGTGCATTTATAGATATTTGAATATGAACTGTAAAAATTTTAATTTAAATTATGTATATCTAATAATAAAATTTATGTACACAATATTATCCTTATTATACGACTGTAATATAGTAAACGTAGGTATATCGATGGATGAAAAATTTTTTAAATATATATCATGAATTTAAAAAATATTTTTTTACATTTTATATTAGCTTAACTCGGGTTTCATTCCTAATATTGTTTTTCAGGATGGCTCCATAGAGTTTGAAGAATTCATCAAAGCCCTATCAGTGACGTCCAGAGGAAACTTAGATGAAAAACTTCACTGTAAGTATTTAGTTGTTTTTAATTTCTTGCTTACTATTTTTTCCCCATTCTCTTTCCCGTGATATTTTAATGCAATACCATACTAAGTAATCAAATTTAAAATATAATACCAAAGTTTCTGTATTTTTATTAATTGATACCTTTAGTTGTAAACATAAAATTTCATGCGAAAAATCTGTATCTATGTTTTCTATATTATATCACGTTTCAGTTTCAAGTAATTCGAATTTCGATGAGATAAAAAAAAAAAATTTGTTCTAAAAATTATGAGCCTTCCCTTCATTACCATATTATTGTAATTTGTGTTGGTATTTTTTGTCAATGCGAAATTAATTGATAATTATTTTTATTTAAATGTGGTTAAAAACTGTATTCCAGAGACGTAATAGATATTTTTGTTTACACAAATATAATAAAATTAATGTTTCTAATTTCTATAAATCAAATATTTTTTGATCCGTGTTGTATCTAAGCTAATATCAACATTGGACTTACATATGTATTAAGTTTAAAAATATTTAACCGATTTGTTACTCCAAGTTTGTACAAATTATATTTATTCGTAATTTAATACGTAGATTAACACAAATAAATTATCCTTTTCATGATCACTCCATTAAAAGTAGGCCTTTGAAGCGGCATTCGAAAAATAATTGTCCGCACTGCGGTGCACTGAATTTTCGGCAGATACTTAAAGATCGAAAAATAAACCAATTTAAAGTGAAAATTATTTGCTAACATTAAATTTAAAATACTACCTCACGTCTTACATGCAGTACAGCACACTTTTTCTCCCTCTTCCCTTTCTATGTACTATGTAACACCAACTGTTACCGTGGTGTTTACTCAAACGAACTATTGAAAATATATAGTCGCTAAAAAATGTTGCGTGAATATTCACATTTATTTAACAATTATTATTACCTTTTATTTTAATTTAGTTTAATTTATACACATGTGTATAAAACAAGCATGTGTATATAACTGTGAAATCGGCCCGTATCTAACGTTATGTATAAATTAACACATTTTATCTCAATCCATAGGATTAAAAATAAAATTGGTTAGAGTAGATGGAGGGACGGAGGGAAAATAAGCTCAACTAATTATTAATGAATTAACATAAATACGGATTCTCCAATTCCAAGCTAAAAACTAGAATTTTATATTTTGAAATAAGAAATTTGTAATTTAAGATTTTGAAATCAGAATTTTATATGTTTCCATATAATATGGTTTAAATTGTTTAACTTACATTTTGTAACAATTTTGTTAATCATTTTAGTTGTTTTTAAATTAAATTAAATTTTCATTTAAAATGTAAAAGTATAACCATAGACGCATTCTCAATATTTTATTCATAAGTTTTATATTGTTGTTTATGTCATTAACATCATACACACCGATGCTGATTGCTTTTTTTTTTTGTTTTTCAATATTTTTTTTTTGTGACATTTTTACTAGTTATAATCATATTTAATATATAGGTATATACTATCTGCCTCATGAATTAGCTTTTTTTTTTTATTTGTCATCTCACGTTTACTGTGTGTTCGACCTCCATTTACCAAACCACCTAGCGGTCTACAACAAGAGTTAATAATATCGAAAAATAATCATCATTTTTTATGTAAAAACATAAGCGTCATTAGTGAGATAAAACCGATAAATTATATTAGATAATTATTTCATTAGAAAGTGACGTGTAGGACGAATTACGTAAACCAATTTTCGAAAACCATGTGAGAATATTACCAAGTAAGATTTGAACAAATAAATAAATAATAAAATATGTGTACATCGTAATTTATATGAACTAATAAATTATAAAAAAAAAGTATTAAGTCAAATTAAAGTCATTCGAGAAAGTATAAAATAGTTGTAGAGACTATTGGGATTAGCATACCAATGTATTTTATTTTAATACAGGCCGCAGCCCAAAATACAGAATATAATTTTAATATAATAGAAGTACAATACAAAACGGTTAGTAGATATAACAATTTAAATAAAAAGGGGGAAATAAGACAAAAAAAAAAAAGAATTATAAATTTAACTTAAAAACTAAAAAACGGTTCCTCATTGGCAATACGCATCATCCTATTTAGTGATTTTTTACGGGAATAATTTTTCATACACAGTGGAATAATGAAAGGATAGGAAGAGTGGACCTGGACAGAGGAAATTTTAAATTTGATCTCAGATAGAAGTTCAGAACAGTCGATCGACCCATTGATGAGTTTGACTCGGAAGACCTTGTTAATGGTAAATCGTCTATCGACCAAAGGCTGTAAATCTCACTGCATCATAATGTAGTTTAGAAAATACCGGACGTACGATAAATTTTCGATCAAAAGACATATTTATTAAATAAAATTGTGTACCACTCGAAAAATTAAAATTTTTTAATAATAACCATGAAAGACGCATAAATATACATACCTGAAACAATTACAAACTATCAAATATTAATAATAATAAAACGTTAAAAATTACAATAAATGCATTTAACGTTAAGTACGTAACATTTGAATAACCGAAATCGCAATGATTCCGCATCAAATTATTCTATTGTTTTCACAGTTCAACGTCGTACGCGTCGCTTTAAAACAATTAAGTTTCAATGGAAGTGAGTCAATTATTTTTACGACTACACATAATAGATCGGAACCGACTGTATCGTTTCTGAAAAATCTAGCACAGGTGTGACCAAATGTCGTCCGGTGGATGAATTTTAACCGGCCCGCAAGTAGAGAAGAAAATTACTTTTTTTTAAAAGATATTTGTGATGAACATTTACATTTTCCCAGCTTGAAAAAAGTTTTTGATGAAAAAGACGAGATTGATATCAGAAATTTTTCGACGTTTATGGCCAGTTTAAATACTGAATTCGAAAGACGTTTCGCAGATTTCAGAAAAAATCAAAACGTTGTACAATTATTGAACAGTAGTTTTACTCTGTAGCCTGATGGTGAATGGATTAACGAAGCAGTAAAAGTTTTCAAATACAAAAAAGCATATCTTCAAATGAAAATAATTGAATTCCAACCAGATGAAGTCCTAAAAAATGTGTAACATGAAAAGTATTCAAAAACTGAAATTGATTCTACACACGATGGATTTCGGTTGAAATATGTATCTGAGAATAAATACCCGACGCTGAAATTATCGATGGTGAAAATGTGTACAATGTTCGACTCCACATACGTCTGTGGGTCTGTTTTTTCAAAAATGAATTATATTAAAAACAAATTCCGATCCCGACTCACCAACGAACGAAACGATGATGAAGGTACCGATCACAAACAAGGCAATATCTGCCATTTTTCTCGTTCGAAATATTGATATAAAAATGTTGGATGCAATTATATTTTCATTGGTGTCAATAGTTAAGTGTACATTTTCTTTTGATATTTTTTATTTAGAAATAAAATAGTTTTGGCCAACCGGCGCGTCGTAATGAATTTAATGTGCTTCGAATTTTCATGGCCCGCGAACATTTTCCGAATCCTTAATGTGGCCCGCGGAAAGCACCTACCTATTAATCGGTGAACCCTTGCTGTCGGCGTTTGTTATTTTACTTTCAGCCTTCAATACATTTCCGCGGCGGATCGATCGCGTCCCAACGCCGTTCTACTATTCCGAGCATGTAAGCTACTTCACGCGTTCTACCGGTGGTCCGTACTCGAACGTTTCATCACCGACCCTAACCTTTGGGCGCACAGTCCACGTGCATTAAAGTGTTTAGCGAACCCGGAGCTCCATGGTGTCCGGTTAGGTCCGCGCGGTCGAAGTGATGGGGGACCCGAGACAGCGGCCTTTGACAAATGTATTTCAACGCCGGCAGTCCGCACCAGATAGAAATCGATTATTGATGACAACGGATTGCCGGTCTCGGGAAACAACATTATCAATACAACGGTACCTGTGGCCTACGTGTAAACGTTTACACAACGAGTTCGGTTCGACGAACATCGTGCGGGTGGTGATTTGTGATGTGTCTTACGCACCTCGCTTGAATAAGAAATGTACTAACGTGCGCGTATAATCATTTTTTAATCGTACGGCTGAATCGAGTTTTAAAAACGTATTGGCAATACGGACGGATTCATCTTGCATCCTAACGAATTGTGCCATCATCGTTGCAATGCACTTCAAAAACAATAAAAATAGGCCGTTTACAAAATGTAACGGAAAAAAAAAACAGACTAAAAAAAAAAAAAAAATAACAGGATACAAAGAGAACAATATCAATAGGTATGATTTTGTAAAACTATCCGCTTCGTTTCATAAAACATTGACTAACAATATTATTTTTAAAAAAAATAAAACATTTCTTTTTTAACAACTATTATTTTTAAATAATTGTATCGCGCACTTCATAATATTTCATTTGTTGTTGATTAACAAAACACTGAAATACGGTATAAATAAGGAAATGGTTAATACTCGTAGTTGAATATGTACATAAATAGTTAAGTAAAATATATAAATGAATGCGTAGTATGGAATATTATTGTACGTCCATTGTATGACCGGTTTCAAATTAAAAATTAATCGTCAGGCATATACAAAGTCAAGAAAAAAAAATAAAATAAACAGAATCCTGATTTTATTGACTTTGTACGTACCTGATGATGCACTTTTACTTCTAAACCGGTCGTACATTATACATAATATATTATTACCAAGGCTCGGAACTTTATGCGCTAAAAACTACTCAAATATGTGTATACATATGCGTTAAAAAACATCAGTATATGCGATTAATATGCATTTTATTTATTATTTCTATACATAAAATATTTATTATTATATATAATTATAAGTAGAGGTAGTGCGTAGAGGATGTAGAAAATCGAAACGAATGGAGGTTTAAGACAAGGATGACCAACCCCAAATAGTTGTGAGAAAGGCGAAAGAGAAGAACAGATAAATATATATAGTTATAAATAGAGCGTGGATTTATATTCTTTTAAAATAGTCAAAATATGATGCTT